GCCATGTGCCTTCATGTGGGGTATAAAAATTTCTAAAGCCTGTTTAGTTACCACTGCGGATGTAGACAAGTAAAGGATTTGATGAAAGTATTGTTTAGTGCAGTGCCTGGGACAGCTGAGCAGGTGATATCATTATGTCTCTCCTCCTCTTCCTTCTCATCAGGGCCATCATCACTGCACTGTGCTAGCCTTGGGGATATAAAGACGAGGAAGCTACAATTCCTTTCCTTCATGTGCTAATAATCTAGAGGGCAAAACAGATGATTCACGTATATGAGATAAAACCTATCATGACCCCTTTCCTCTCCTACTCTTCACAACAACCCCGTGAGGTGTAGGGCTCACAGTTTACAAATTAGGAAAGAAAGGCTCAGACAGTCATAGGACTGTGTTCAGACACGAAAATAGGAGGAGCCAAGGTTCACACCTAGTGCACTGTCATGCCAGGGCCGGAGCAATCAGTCTGCCTCATGGAGAAGGTGCGTAGCGATCGTCTAATGGATATTCTTCTGTAAGAAACATGGAAAATGTGCAGAGATGGCAGAAGAGAAACACAAGAGGTGCTTAGATGATTTAAAAAGAGGATCTACATTTTTTTCCTCCTGAAATTTGTGCATCTAAAAGGAAGGGGGGGAGGGAGGGGGGAGGGGAGAGAGAGAGAGAGAGAGAGACAGAGAGAGAGAGGGAGAGAGAGAGAGGGAGGTCCAGTAGTTTAGCAGAGAAAGACCTGGACTCAAAGATCCTTGATTTTGCAAAGCATGAAATTCCCAGATGATGATTTCAGAGCTGGGAGCTGACAACTGTGTTTTTTTCCCCCTTCTTGGGAGGATCTGAGCCTCTTGTCCTTACTTTTACTGAACACCCTAAAGGATAATCTCCTTTTCTTTGTTTTGTGTCAGGGAATCAACTTGAGTGAGTGGCAGGGAAGGGAAGGTGGGAAGCCAGCTGAGGTAGGAGGTGGGTCTGGGGTTACTCCTTTGTCTTAAGTGTGTTTGATGAAAGTTTTGCACCGTTTGCCTGTCAGCTCCATCCAAGGCCACATAAAGCACCTTAGCAAGTTCTGAAGTGACAATTTTTTCCCGAAAGGAAAATAGCTTTTTAGAAAATTATGAAAGTAATACATATTTACTGAAAAAAGAGAAGGCAGTCAAAAAATGTAAAAGAAGGTGAGATCATTCATCATTTCATCACCATGTGAGCCACACATACACACTCCTACACATATCATATTGTAAAATGGGGCCACTTAATCGATAGCTTTCTGGTGTGTGCACAGTCATTTTTCTTACTCTGGGAGCACCCTAATAATCAAAGTGAGGTCTTCACAACCATATTAATTTTATGTGATGAGCCAAAACTGGTTAGTTGTAGGGGAGAAATATGACACAGTTTAGTTCAATCTAGACAGCCCCATATATATTGTCATTTTTTCCAGAGGTTCCTGCAGCTTTGCTGGTTTCTGCCCTTTCTTCATTCTTAGTTGTTTTACTCTTTCTTCTGTTCGATGAACATGAAATAGCACAGTATCTTTCCAGAGTTCCCTGGCCTTGCTGTTTCCTGCCCGCTTCTTTTATCTTTCTGCTTATGCTAGCCAGAATCAGATCATCTCCCGTACAGCCAGGAGAAACTTAATGAATGCAATATTGTATTCACTGCTTCCTAACCTTTTTTTTGCTTAGCACATCAGGGCCATTTTCCATGTCCGTAGATAGTCACAGGTTGCTGTGTGATGGCTGTGTGTGGTCCACAGTGTGAAGATTGTGTCTTCATAAACTAGAACACACCTTCCAGCTTTTAGTTCTGAAATCACTGTCTAGTAATTAGAAGCCCCTCTTTGTTCTTTTTTAGACAGTGCTGCAGTAAATATTATAGTATATACATTTCTGTATTTATTATTCCTCATGGCAGATTTCCAGAAATGAAATTAATAAGGGTCTGTGTAATTTTCTTTTTGTATATTAACAGATTTCTTCCAAGAAAATTTGTACCAATTTATACTACCAATAATACAGTCTTAACACCCAGCATAGGTATTATAAATTTTTCCATTTGTTACCAATCTCATAGGAGATAACTCAAAAAATGACTATGTTTTATTTTGTCAGTAATAGACTACTGCAGAACTGTCAAGGAGGCCATACAGTCAAAAAGAAGGAAAAACTCGACCAAATCCATTACTTATAAAAACATATAAAAACATATAAAAGAGAGGACAAGCCCAAGCAGCCAGTGCTCCTGAGTACTTGTGTCTTGGTGCTCATAGTCCTGGCGGCCCATATAGTGTGCAAGTTGGTCCTTGGCAGGATGGACAAGACCTGTGAGATGAAATAGAAAATGCTGGACAGCCCTTTGGGGAAAATAGAGATATCTGGTTGTGAGCAAGGACTGCATAGGATAAGGCTGCTCCGCCAGAAGACCTCGAGCACAGAAATTCAGCAGTGAAGCCATCAAGATGCAAAGAAACAGACCCAAGGATCAGTGGAACAGATTAGAAGATGCAGAAACAATGCCAGACATACTCAGTCACCTCATCTTTGACAAAGGAGCCAACCACCCTCATTGGAGGAAAGATAGCTTCTTTAATAAATGGTGTTGGAAAACTGGATTTCAACCTGCCAAAGATTAAAACTAGACCCATACCTATCACCATGCACTAAACTAAGATCGAGTGGATTAAAGATCTAAATATTAAAACAGAAACACTAAACTTGCCGGAAGATAAGTTAGGTAGAACTTTTGAAGACATTGGCATACGAAAAGACTTTATGAACAAAACCTCAGTAGCACAGGAACTAGCACAAAGAATCAACAACTGGGATCTCATCTTATTAAAAAGTTTCTGCACTGCAAGAGAAACCACCAACAGAGCTAAGAGACAACCTACAATGTGGGAAAAAATTTTAGCAGCTGTACCTCAGACAAAGGACTACTATCAAGAATCTATAAAGAACTGAAAAAAATCAGACCCCCCAAAGTCAAAGACCCAATCCAAAAATGGGCATCTGAAATGAACAGACATTTCTCAGACAAAGAAGTAAAAGCAGCAAATAAATATATGAAAAAATGTTCAACATCACTGGTAATGCAAGAGATGCAGATGAAAACAATACTGAGATTCCACCTCACCCCTAAAAGAATAGCTGGTATCAAGAAATCAACCAATAACAAATGCTGGCAGCGGTGTGGGGAGAAAGGAGCTCTTTTCCATTGTTAGTGGGAGTGCAGATTGGTACAACCACTGTGGAAATCAGTATGGAGATACCTCAAAGAACTAGGACTAGAGGTCCCATTTGACCCAGCTATTCCCCTGCTGGGTATCTTCCCAAAAGAATTAAAAGAATCATACCACAGTGATATATGTGCACCCACGTTTATAGCAGCACAGTTTGTAATAGCTAAAGCTTGGAAACAGCCCAAGTGCCCATCAACTGGAAACTGGATAAAGAAGATGTGGGTTTTTAAAAAATAAAATGGAATACTACTCAGCCACAAAGAATGAGAAACTAGAGACATTTATAGCTAAATGGATGCATACTGAGGACATACTCTTAAGTGAAATAAGTAGGACACACATGTATAAATATCAAATAGTTTCTCTACTGTGAGAAACTGAAAGGGCAAATAAGGACTAAAAGGTATAATAGATAATGTGAAATAGGAAGAAAAGGGGCAAAGGGGAAGGGGAAGTGGGAGGGGTAGGGGAAAGGAAAGAAGGAAATGGAAAAATTATGAGAAAAGGAAAAAATGGAAACAAAGACTTTGTAAATAGGGAAGGGTAGAGGAGTGAAGGGAGGACAGGGAATGGGGAAAAAATAAGAATCAAGATATATCATGTATAGGTACAAGTGCCCAATGATAAATGTAAATGTATTGAATACCTAAGTAGAAATAAAAGAATTTAAGCAAAAAACCATATAAAATAGAACACGTGTGTACGTGATTTTAGAAAGGTAGGAGGGTTTTAAGAAACTAAATACATCCTACACATCCAAAACCCTTGTTCCCCCTCCGTCATATTACAGCTAGCCACAATCTTCTATGTGAAGTTTATAATTTAAAGGGTTTTTATGCCATAATTAAAGGAGGATATCTATCAATAATATATATTGTTGTTTGTTTTAAAATTATATGCTGTATTGTATGACTTTACTTTTTGTCACTCAATATTATGCTTTTGAAATTTATTCATGTTGACAGATGGAGCTCTATTTGGTTCACTTTAAATATTGTAGATTATTCCATTGCTTTAACTTACTTCAACTTTTAAAACCTGTTTTCTAATTACTTGATATTAAGGAATTCTTTATAACTTTATATTAAGCCTTGTTTTATTTGCGTTGTAAATATCTTCATTCAGTGCACAGTTTATCTATTCATTTTATATTGAACTATTTTTTCCATTTTAATGTAATGTAAAATTAATATTTTTCTGTGTATATCTTCTTTATCACTAATGAAATGATGTCAAATATAAAATAGATAATAGGAAATAGGGAGATACATCTTTTGCAAAAGGAAATGAGACTAAAAAAACAAGGGAGATGGAAGGAAGGGGAAAAGAATAGGAGGTAAAAAGAATTAAGATGTGTTGTATACGTGTTCCAACTCCCCATGAGGGATGTAATCATTATGTACTGAAAAAATATATTAACATTTTTTACTGAGAGTTTAAAAATTTCTTTTTTTGGCATTTTAACTTTTAATCCATCTTAAGGTGATTTTTGTGAATGGTATAAGGTACCATTTGGACAATTAATTATCCCAACTCCTATATATTAGTTGAGCCTGCTGCCATTGACGGGGAAAGTCATAGCTATCACGTATCAGCATGTTTTTGCACTTAATCTATGTTGTTTTGTCAGTCTAGTTTTCTTTCTGCATGCTAATATTGTATTATCTTAATTACTCTAATTTTCTAAGTCTGGTATCTGATAGCATAAATCCTCCCAACTACTGTCTAACAATGTCAACTATACTGGTCATTTATGTTTTCTTACAAGGTTTGGAATCAACTTGTCAAATTCTGTGGAAAAGTCTACTGTGATTCTTACTGAATTGTGCTGGGTGGAGCTGCTATCTATAAGGTATTAAATATTCCCATCAATTAACATGGTATATTGCTTTATTAATTAGAAATTTTATTTTTGCCAGAATGTGCCATAATTTTTTCTTCCAGTTAGTTTTGTAGATATTTTGTTAGATTCTTCCCTTAATCCCTACTGAGAATCTTATCATTTTCATGATTTTTTATGGGATCCTTCTTTTGTGGATGAATATTATCTAACTTGTTATTTGTGTATTAGATGACATTGGGTGTGTTCAGGGTGGTATGGCCATAGACTTGTGTATCAGAGATCTATGGATTTTTCTATGTTGATCTTGCATCCAACTTACTATCAAATTTTCTTATTATACACATTTGAGTACAGATAGATTCTTTTATTATCTATTTAGATAATCTTAACATTGCAAAATGGATAGCTTTCTCTTCTCTGGCAGGTGTTGTTCCTTCATCTCTCTTAAGAATTCTTTTTTTTTTTTTTTGGTGCCGGGGATTGAACTCCGGTCCTTGCGCTTGTGCAGCAGGCGGCGAAACTCTCTCTCTTAAGAATTCTTTATAAGGATGCCTTGTTATATTAGTTAGCACCTAAGTCAGTAGTGACTAACAGAAATGATAATGGGACTATTGTGCTATTCCTGACTTTAATGGAAATGTTTATAATGGATTATTTCTGAATATATTTGCTATAAATTTTTAAATTTTGCTGTGGGTTGAATTGTGTCTCTCTGAAAGATAAGTTGAAGTCTTAATTCCTGGTACTTGTGAATGGGCCCTTCTTTGAAAATATGGTCTTAGTAGATGTAATCAAGCTTTCATCAGGTCATACTGGATTAAAATGGTCTCTAATTCAATGGGCTTTGTCCTTATAAGGGGGAAATTTAGATAAACACACACAGACATGGGAGAATGCCATGTACTATGGAGGCAGATTGGAGTGATGCTTCTACAAATCAGTGAATGCTTAAGATTGCTAGGAAGGGTCAGGAAAAGTTCCTTCTCTAGTTCTTTCAGAAAGATCTTGGCCATGCTGACATCTTGATTTGGAACTGTGCCCCACAGAACTATGAGATGATAAATCTGTTCTTTGTGATCATTTGTTGTAACAACTCTAGAAGATAAGCACATTTATGGTATGTATCCAGTGATAGATTAACAATGTTTTCTTCTAGTCCCAATTTGTAAAAGAGTTTATTTTTTCTTGAATGGGTGTTAAGTGTTATGTTTTTTGATCATATTATTTTTTAGCGCTCAGTGTTAAATATAATTTATTGTATTAATGTGTTTTCTGGTATTGTACCATTCCTGCATTTCTAGGAATAAACTGATGAATTAAATTTGATCATGATCTTTTTTTCATTTAACATAGACATTTATAAATTTCTATTTTCCTTGTATTTTGCTTAGGATTTTTTATTTGTACTTATAAATGAGAACAGTATTTAATTCTAATTTATGAAATGATTTTGGATCAAAATAATATGTGCATGTGCCTTTTCTATTACCTGATATAGTTTTTATAAGATTCACTTTATTTGTTTCTTCAAAGTGGGAAGACTTGTTTATAAAATTATATGGAATTTAGGTCTTTTTTCTTTTAGGGATTGAGGAATATGGATAGATTAGGAATATGGATTACATTAGGAATTCAGTTTATCTAATAACTATCTGATTAGTCACTTTCCCTTTGATAAGACAAAATATATGACACTTGCAACTTAAGGGAAGAGAGGTTTATTTTGGCTCACAGTTTCAGTGGGTTCAAGCCATGGTTGGCTGGTTCCAACACAGAAACAACGTGGCAGAATGGTATGGTGGGAGAATGGCCTGGCAGAAGAAAGCTGTTCACTGCATGGCAACCGGGAAGCAGAGAAAGAAGGGAGGAGCCAGGGAGATGAACACATCCTTCCAAGTCACACCCCAGTGACCTACCCTTCCAGTCAGTCCCCACCTCTTATTGTGAGAATTTTGGGGAATATTTTAGATCTAGACCATAACACTAATGGTTTTGCTAGTCTTTCTTTTTATTCTTGAGTCAATTTTGTTATTCCTTTTCTTTAGAAAATTGGCCATTTTGTGTCAGCTTTCAGATTTATTTATATCAAATATTCCATAGATTCTTCTTATGGCTTTTAAAAGTTTCTATAGCCTTAGGGACATGTCCCTTTTCTCCTGGTATTATTTGTGCCACTTCTATTTCTCTTAATCATTCTAGAGAGAGAATTTTCTAGTTTTCATGAACTAGTTCTTGAATTGTTTATCTTCCCTTTTGTCTCTTTATTTTCTATGTCATTATTTTCTGTTCTTATTTTGCTTACTTTCAGCTACTTTTTAAAAGGTGTGTTATCTTACACCTTTTCTAGTTCTTTGAGTTTAAATTTTTTCTTGTTATGTTACTGATGAATTTATTTAGAGCTCTACATTGTTAACTGCAGCCTGCATGTCACCCAATGGTTTTAAATACAATAATTTTATTGCAATACAGGTTCATAAAATTTTATGTCATTGATTATTATTTTTGAACATATGAATGATTTAAGAGTACATTTTTAGTTTCAAACACAAAAGTTCTTGGTAGTTAAAACTATGTCTTGGGCCTTGAAAGAAATTTCATTGGATTTAAGAGGACTGAGATTTTACAAAATATGTTTTCAAACCCATCTAATTTAACAAAAAAATCAGTGACAACAGAAAAGGATTCAAAATCCTTATATTTGGAAATCAAGAGTATGCTCATAAATTATGCATATATGAAAGAAAAAATCAAATGAAAATGTAAAAAATATTTTAACTGGGTCATAGTGAAAATATGACAGATCAAAACGTGAGGGATGCAGTTTATTTCTTCCTTAAAGGAAAATTGATTAAAGAAAAGAGCATGAAAATCAGTCTGCTAAGCAACCTTCTCAACCCGGTTAGAAGGAGTGGTTGGATAAGAAATGACAACTTCACCCAAGAGCAGAGCTGCCCCCAGCACAGAGGAAGTGAATATTCCAGGCTGCTGTACCACTGCCCCCAATGCCCAGGAGCAGAGCTATCCCCAGTGCAGAAGAGGTGAACCTTTCAGGACCCCGTACCACTGCCCCCAATGCTAAGAAGCAGAGCTGCTCCCAGTGCAGAGGAGGTGAACTTTCCCGGCCTCCATACCACTGTCCCCAGCACTGAGGAGGTGAGACACATGGGCGCCAACAGCACTCCCCCTCCCCCGTTGAAATGAGAAGACACTTAAAGGAGTATCAAAACCAGACTCCCAGATCACCTAAAGCAACCCCAAAGGGAAATGAGATGGAACAATCTGATACTCAACCACCTAGACTCCTGGAACTGGCAATGAAAGAATATCTGGAAAAAATGAAATCAGAAATAATTTCTCAGATATAGCAGAGACTGTACACATAGTGCAAGACATGATTAATAAATCTAGAGAGGACACAGATAAAAAAATAGAGGAGTGGAGGAATATGATGGAATCCCAACATAGGAAACAAATGGAATCTATAAAATACATGTAAACAGATTTCCAGGAGATTAAAAAGTCCATTGAAAGTTTACACAGCAGAATGACCCAATGTGAGGACAGAATTTCAGAAGATAAGATTGCAATTAGTAACCAGGAAAAGAAAAACTTCTTTAAAATAGTAAGGGACCATGAGAACTCAATCCAGCAGCTGCTAGATGACGCAAAGAAGAATAACATAAGACTAATCAGAGTTAATGAAGAAACATGAGAGAGTGCAGATGACATAAAAAAAAACTTCACAGAAGTGATGGCAGAAAATTTCCCAAGCAGGGGAAAAGAACTTGAATACAGATAAGTGAGGTATATAGGACTTCAACCAGCCTTGATCAAAAAAAAATCTACACATAGGCATATAATTGTTAAGATTCCAGAAACCCAACAGAAGAACAAAATTCTAGAAGCAGTCAGAGAAAAGAAACAAATCACATACAAAGAAAAGTCCGTCAGAATCACAGCAGACTTCTCAATGCAAACCCTCAAGGCAAGAAGAGCTTGGAGTGACTTATTTCAAGCCCTAAAGGAAAACAGCCTCCAAACCAGATTGATGTACTCTGCAAAACTATCTTTCAAAATTGGTGGAGAAATAAGATACTTTCATGACAAAGAGCACCTTAGGAACTTCCTGAATACCAAACCAGCACTCTGAAAGATTTTAGACAATATCCTAGGAAAAGACAATGAGGATCATAACCCCAGGAAGCCCAGCAGAATGAATCCATTGGGCACAACAAGAAATTAAACACAAAGAGGGAGAATCCAAGAAAAAGAAGAAGTCATGACAATGATAAGTCAATATGTATCAGTTATAACCATCAATATAAATGGTCTCAAATGATCAATCAAAAGAAACAGACTGGCAGAATGGGTCAAGAAGCAAGATCCAATATGCTGCATACAAGAAACCCACTTAATTCAAAATGAAACTCATAGACTGAAAGTTAAAGGGTGCAAAACAATACTCCATGTGACAGAAACCCCCCCAAAAGCAGGAGTAGCTATCCTCTTTGCACATCAAGTGAATTTCAAACCAACTCTGATTAAGAGAGACAAAGAAGGACACTACAACTACATCCTTGTAAAGGGAACAATCCAAGAGGAAGAGATGACAATCATAAACATATATGCACCAAACACTAGTGTGCCCAAGTATATAAAACAAATACTAATGAACATGAAAAATCAAATAAGCACTAATACAATAGTAGTGGGGGACCTCAATACTGCACTCTCACAAATAGACAGATCAACTAGACAAAAAACAAGCAATGAAATACTAGAACTCAATCAAACTCTTGAACAAATGGACTTAACAGATGTTTACAGAGTGTTCCACCCCACAAAATCAGAATACACATTCTTTTCAGCTGCACACTGGTCGTTCTCCAAAGTAGACCACATACTCACTCATAGAACATATTCAGGTAAGTACAAAGGAATTTATGTTATCCCTTGTATACTACCAGACCATAGTGGGGTGAAATTGGAGATCAATAGGAAAAGAAACTGCAAAAATTTCATAAACACATGGAAATTGAACAACACACTTCTGAATAACCAATGGGTCACAGAAAATTAAAGAAGAAATCAGACAGTTCCTTCAATTAAATGACAATGACAATACAGGATATTGGAATCTATGGGACACAATGAAAGCAGTCTTACAAGAGAAATTCATAGCAGTGAATACTCATATTAGGAAAACAGACTGAGCTCAATTACACAACCTGATGCTGCACCTCAAGCTTCTAGAAAAAGAAGTGCAGGACAAACTCAAAGTTCATCCAAGGGAGGAAATTATAAAGATCAGAGGAGAAATCAATGCAATGGAGACTAAGAAAACAATACAAAAAATCAATGAAGCCAAGAGTTGGTTCTTCTAAAGAATAAACAAAATTGACAAACCCTTAGCCAACCTT